CTGGGGATGTTAGGGAACAGTTCATGAATAGGCTCTCTGGGGATGTTAGGGAACAGTTCATGAATAGGCTCTCTGGGGATGTTAGGGAACAGTTCATGAATAGGCTCTCTGGGGATGTTGACTGTATCCGTACACCCTGGGGTCATTTTGTACCTCCGGGGTTGTATTCTTCACATTTTAGAACATACTATTGGTTCCTGCTTTCATTTTTGCTTGATGTCTCTCTCTCTCTCTCCCCCCTCCTACCTCCCCCTCCACCCTTCCGTCCTCTCCAACCCTTTCTTCCTCCAACACCCCCCCTACCCCTTTTCCAACTCCCTCTTCCTCCAAAATTCTCCCCCCCCCCTCCAAAAAAACAAACAAACCCTCCTCCAACCCTCTCTTCCTCCAACACCTACTCCTCCAACCCTCTCTTCCTCCAACCCTCTCTTCCTCCAACACCCACTCCTCCAACCCTCTCTTCTTCCAACACCTACTCCTCCAACCCTCTCTTCTTCCAACACCTACTCCTCCAACCCTCTCTTCTTCCAACACCTACTCCTCCAACCGTCTCCTCCTCCACCCCCCCCAACCCCTCCTCCAACCCTCTCTTCCTCCATTATTTGTTTCGCAACCATTGTCGTGGCATGCTGCTTTATTTCTTATGTCTGTCAGTCTGTTTGTCTGTCTTTCTGTTTGTTTTCCTGGATCAATACAGAAATTCCTATTTCTGAAAGTTTGGATTTTGTAATATACTTCTGCTTATACGTTTATGTATATTAATATTCAAATCTCTTTTTGCATGTCATGTTGCACTTTGTAAAAATGAGTTTGATACAAGATGTGTTAGACAGTATGATCTGTAGATTCTGAGACCCTGCACGCAATTTTCCATTGGATCCAAAAAGTTAGGATTTTTTGTTGTAACCAGTGGACTCCTCTATAGTGTCGATGATTGAAATATCTTGTCAGTCTTATTCTCTCCTCTTTTCTTTCTTTGCTTTTTTAACAAATTTGTTATTCTTTAATAACACCTCCAGTCTTGTATAGTGACCTATTTGTGTTGCAAGTGCGTGAAACTCTCACGAAACTGAATGATTGCAGAAGCAGCTTCAGTGGGTTTTGGCGGGTGCTCTGGTGTGGTTTGCTTCTTCTCTTTCCTATCGAACATCTATCGTCCTCATCTCCCCTCCTCCTTTTTTGTGTTTGTTACTCTCTCGTAACACCTCTAATCTTCGGCATTTATATGACCTTATTGTGTTGCAAGTGCCGTCAAAACTTTTCTTACTAAAACTTTAAAAAGTGTTCTAAATGGTATAAAAGTGTAACAAAAACTCAAAAACGTTTTCCTTGTGTGTGTGTCTGTGCACAGAGCTCCCCCAGCCAATCTGTGATGAACAAACAAGTGCCTGTCAAGCCCCCTGTCCCCGAGAAGCCAGTCGCCAACAGCCCTTTGGTGAGTACTGTGGCCTAGCCTTTTTCTGTCTGTCTGTCTGTCTGTCTGTCTGTCTGTCTGTTTGTTTGTCTGTGTGTCTGTCTGTTTTTCTGTCTGTCTGCTGTCTGTTTGTCTGTCTGTTTATTTGTTTATTTGTCTGTTTGTTTGTTTGTCTGTCTGTCTGTTCACATTCGTTCCATTTTTCAGAGTCAGTCAGGCATGGCTCACAGATTCTTCAGTGTGGCTTCTTCACTACTTCAGCCTATTGTGTTTGGCTTATCGAAACACACGCGCACGCGCACACGCACATACACACATGCACACACACAGACACACTCACAGTGGGTGGTTGGCGGGTGCTCTGGTGTGGTTTGCTTCTTCTTTCCTATCAAACATCTATCATCCATATCTCCCCTTCTTCTTTTTTATGTTTGTTACTTTCTTGTAGCATCTCTAATCTTCTGGCGCTCATATGACCTTATGCATTGGCGAGCGTCGTAAAACGCTTACTAAAAGTAAAGCTAAAAGAACTAAGTGTCTGTGTGTTTTTGTTTTGTGTTTTATTCTATATATGTATTTGTGTGTGTTGTTTTTTTATGTTAATTTGTTGGTTAAAAAAAACTTTTTGTTGATTTTGTAGGATGCAGAATTAAGTGTCTGTGTGTTTTTGTTTTATGTTTTATTCTGTGTGTGTGTGTATGTGTGTGTGTGTGTGTGTGTGTGTGTGTGTGTGTGTGTGTGTGTGTGTGTGTGTGTTGCTGTTTTTTGTTCATTTGTTGTTAAAAAAAAACACACTTTTTGCTGCCTCTGTAGGGCGGTTACTTTGTTGTAGTCGTTTGCTTTTGTGTGACTCGGAACTCTGAGACAGACTCCATGTGACAGACTCCATGTGACAGACTCCATGAAAGGAGTTGTGCTGGCGTTGTGGCTAGGCGTGTGTTTGTTTGCATGCTTAGATTGCCGTAGCTTGACGTCGCTGTGTGTTTGTCGTGTGGTGTTGTGTTCTAGAGTCTGTGTCATCGTTGTAGATGCATATACTATGTCACTATTGTCCTTCTCTGCGCCCCCCCCCCCCATGTGGGGATGTGGAGTGGCCGGCCGCCTTGGACAGTGTTTAGACTGTACTCAACTGTCTGCCGTGCTTGTTATAGGGTCGCTTTTAAGGACTATCGGGCTAACCCAGATTTCGGGGGGTTCCCTCCTCCTTTTTTGTGTTTGTTACTCTCTTGTAACACCTGGTCCTCGGCACTTCTATGACCTTATTGTGTTGCAAGTACCCTAAAACTCTTACTTAAACGAAAACTTAACACATAAAGTAGGCTTTGCCTTACCTATAGGGGAAGTTTGGTTTCATTGGTGTGTAGATTTGTTTGGGTATAGAGAAAACTCTCCTTGTCTTTTAAAGAAACTGAACAAGGGTCGAAAAACTTTACCTTCGATTTTCTCGAAGCAACTTTTTTTTCGGGATAGCCTCCTTGTGCTTAAAGGCGACCATTTGTGTGTGTTCATTGTGTTGTTTCCTGTGCTTACACTGAGTGTACGTGTACTGTGTCAGGTGTTTTTTGGTGTGCATTTCTAGACGGTCGTAAGTAGATTTTTGCTAAACGTCTTAATCCTCACCTGACAGTTTTTTTCCAACAAATGTGTATGCATCCAGTATTTCTGCACCATTATTATCCTTGCAGGGGGTTTCTGCTTTTAATTTAATACCCAATTTTTACATGTATTGATAATTTTTGTAAAAGTTATTTATTCGTTCGTTCGTTCGTTCGTTCGTTCGTTTATTTATTTATTTATTTATTTATTTATATATTTATCTATTTATTTATGGAGAAGTTGAACTTGAACCAGAAAAGACAAATGTACTGGAGATTGCGGTAAAAAAAAAAAGAATCAAATAACAAGAAACAATTGAGCTCACAGAAGATAGGGCCACGGTACACGTGCGCCTCTGACGTCAATATGAACAGTATACACACTATGTCCACACATTATGTCTGTGCTAGTGTTTGGTGGGTGTTGTTGTGTAGAACCCACACATGTCTATGTCTGTGCTAGTGTTTGGTGGATGTTGTTGTATAGAACTTAGTTATCTTTTTGTCGCTTCAACTTGGACTTGCTGCAGCTCAAACAAATTCAACACGTCATTAATGCCA